ATTTGCATGTGCTAATGTAATGAACTGACTCAAATTCAAACTCAGCTGATTTGTCATTCCAAGCTGGTATCAATTACACCACCCACACATCCACCTATAGCTATGGAATTTTCCGATTACAACAGGTGCCCATTTGTCTGCACATAATAATTGCAAACATGTCCTCAAAAAGGCTAAGTATTTGTTTACTGATAAAATGAGTCACTGTATAGGTATAGTATCTAATGACTTTGATTCTCATGACTACTGATGGCTTTGTAATAGTGTATTAAATAAAAGTAAGTCTTCTATCCCATCTCTCTTCTCTCAGTTTGAGATGTTAATATCTTCTGCTGATAAAGAAGATAAAAATTTTACTCTTGACTCATCTGGAGTATCTCTGTCTGACTTTCCACTTAGTACCGAGTCTCTACTGAGCAATATGAATAGAACTCTTTGCATGATTTCTGCTATCATTCCTTAACTGGATCACCACAAAGAATGTAAACTTGATGGCATCCCTGCAATAGTCCTTAATAAATGTGATTCTGAACTAGCTCCTGTTATATCTAAAGTCTATATTAAATGCCTGGTTGCTTCTTGCTTTCCTACTTGTTGGAAATCCTCTTAGTAATTCCACTCTTTAAGAACTGAAGTGAACCACCTGATCCTTCTAACGATAGGCTATTAGCCTTCTACCTCTTTTTGGAAAAGTACTAGAGGCTCTAATAAACTCCAAATTGGTTAAGCATCTCACATCACACAGTCTTCTTTCAGATAAACAATACTGTTTTCATTTCTTTAGATCAACTACTAACATACTACCAATTATTGCTGAAAAAAATCTATCAAGCTTTAGATAAGAATGGTGAAGCTCAGGCTATTGCTTTGGAGATCTCCGAAGGCATTTGACAGAGTTTGACATACAGGTCATCTTCACAAGTTGAAAGGTTATGGTATTTATGGATTAATTTTTGGGGGTTTCTATCCTTGGACCTAGATTGTTCCTAATTTTCATCAATGACCTTTCTGATTACATCAGTTCTCAACTTAGAATCTATGCTGATGACAACTATTTAATTCTGTCTTAATATTAAGTGATTGGTTCCATAAGGTCAAATCAGAAGCTGATCTCAAAAATGATATACAATCTGCTTTTAACTGAGGCAAGGAAGTGCATGTCAATTTTAACGCCTTCAAAACAAGGGACCTTTCTGCCTTCCATCAGCATGACTGATGCAAAACTCCAGAAGAGTGACTTGTACCTTTTTGGGCTAACATTCTCTATCAATATGAAGTAGAAAGATTATATTAAACTATTTGCTAGGTCTGCTGCTAAGAAAGTTGGTTCATTGTATCATGCTAGACAATTTTTCTCTCCAAAATCTCTTACAATTTTCTAATTCTACCATTTGTCCCCGTCTTTGAATATTGTGCAATATAAGGTCTGGTGCTCCTTCTATATATTTGAAAATTCTTCATAAAAACCAAAGAATCTGCAATGTTATTTGTCCTGACCTGATATCTCAGCTTCAGTCACTTTCCCACAGCCATAATGTAGCTTCCTTACACCTTTTCTATAAATACTTTCATGGTAATTATTCTGATGAAACTTCATCTATGCTATCTAGACTTTATGAATTTAAGTGCAGTACTTGATTGGCAACAAGGTCTTATCATTTTACATTTAAATTGGCAAGTAATGAAGTTCTAAGCTAACAGCTTCTTTTCTCACACTTCTTGCTTTTAGAACTCTCTTCTGGCTTATCAAAAATGTAAATGTAATGTCAATCCTTATCTACTATCTTCTTGATTCTTCTTCTATTGTTCACACTACTTAATGTTTTTCCTTTTTACAATCAGTAACTTCTTGTGACTTGGCGGTTTTATTGCCTTGCTTGAGATGAAATGATTAAAAACTTTGCTCATAAAAAAAAAAGAAAAAAAGAAAGAAAAAGTTAATCCTTAAGGTTTATTCCTGATTCTTGTATCCATTAGGTCAATAGATTTCTAATCCTGTAAATGATGCTACATTTGAGGACCTCAGACATACAGAGTAAGACAGCTACTGCTACAAAAACATATTTACTGTAACAGAGATACTGTTGTGGATTTTACAAGTAAATCAATACCTAGTGGCTGGTTGAAATGAAGTTAACCTGATACGTTACTTTAAAAAAATCTAGATAAACAAGCTAGGTAACTTAGATTTTACTAGGATACCAGAAGTACACTAATTTTTTTTTCCTACTTACAAAGAAATTTGCCATTTTGAAATAAAAGTAAAAAAGTATGTAATGTTGACAAGAACAAAAACCAGTGTCTGGATGCTTATCTGAGGAGTGAAACTCGGAGACAAAAATATCAGTCTAAAGAAAACTGAATTATCTTGAGAGTGCAGGTGACACTTATGAGAATTAGAGAAACAAAATGATCATGGGGCAAGACACCCAATGAGTTTAGATAGCTAAAATATGGACACATACTTCGTGGACAAAATGAAGGATCACTATTTGTTGAT